CAAAACTATTGGTTACGTCTTTGGTTAACGTTTCAGCATCAAATTCTGGCTGATTTTGGCAAAATGTCGCATTTCGATGGATTTCAATCAGGTTTCCAGAATAATGGATGAACTCGTTTAACAACGGTGACCATGTGTTGCTATTTTCGCTGGATAACAATTCTGAATCTATTTTTTCCGCCTTTTGTCCGTTCATTATTTAGCCGCTGTGTGTATGTGCGCGTGTCGTCTGGGTGCCAATGATCAACTTATCATATACGCAGCTCCGCTGCCATGATTACGACCTGACTTTTGGCGCCCTCTGTCGCTGTGTTCGTTTCGGCCAGTGTATGCTGGTACGCATTTGACTGGCTGGTCATTTTTGAGCCTCTCGTAAGCTTTCGATTTGACTATTACTGCTGCTGCCGCCAGCTTCGACCAGCCAACCGACGCAATACCGCTACGTAACGGCCTGTCCGCCCGATCTGGTCGCCGGTGCGAGGATAGATATTTTTGTTCTGTTGTCGAGGAGTGATTGGTTCGGTAGTAGCGGGTCGGGAGAGCATACGTTTCGAGCGGCGATTCAGTCTAACAGATGTCGGTGTCTGGCGTCCCACTAAACATCTGTGCAATCGCAATAGAAATCGTAGAACCAGCAGCGAAACCAACAACAAGCCAGGGCGGCGGCTTCCTTGTAGGAAGCTGTTTGTAGTTAAGCCTACCGCCTGCAACAGTCACAACAACGACAACATTGTTGTTGTAGTATGTTGACGTGCGGACTGCCCCAATGGACGCGGTAGCGACTGTGATTGCGCTACAGTCTGCCTCTTTCGGCGATGGCGAAGGCTGTCCAAGCTAACATAAAAGCTCAGCGAAGACAAAGGCGGGAATGATGGGATGTGGCGATGAACGAATGTATAGTGCAGATGATGACGGAGAACACTCACGATACTCATACGTTCACAGACACGGGAACACAGGCACAAAATGGAGAAAAGTCTAAAGAATGTTGATATACGCCACTAAATGAGATGCGGCTGGTTGAGCGATGCTGAGGTGTATGAAGTCCAATCAAACGGCGAACAGAAGGCCAGTCTCGATCAAGCGGATAAACCCTAATCAATCGAAGCGTCAAATAGCAGACAACATCATAGCAAAACGTCAACCACAACCTTGGTAACTTTTGCAATTCGTTGCCAATTCACTTGTCGCATTAGTTCCAGAGCACGTCCACCAGATGGAATATGAACAACCACAACAAAACAGCCGATAAGTTGAAGAGTCAAACGACAGGACTGACACACAGATCGGAATCCGCCCTGACGTGACAACGGTTCATCGCTAGGAAATGACTCCTCTGAGCGGGTAAGTCAGGTGCTGCCAATGCCCTACTTTTGTTCAGCAGTTAGACTCTAGCTAACCGAATAAATGTTGCAGCGTGGCAATTCTGCCAATCAAAGCTACCCTTGAAGACGAGAATCATAATGGAAATAGCAAAGGTACTCTTTGTTGTTACTGGCGGCGGTAGCGGCGTTCGTCAACAATTCCAAATGATCACTTCGTTCACCTTTTAGTCGAACCAATAACTCGTAGTCATGACAAATCTTTTGCTGATTCGTTCCATACAAATTATTGGAGTATGCAACATTGCAAGTAACAGGTAGGCTACGCAATAGCGAAATATTGGCATATCGATAGAAACCGTGTGTATTAAACAGCCTTAGATCTAAACACTTTGGGTTTGTTTGATAGGTTGTTTAGGCGTCGCTAATGACATCTTTGTAATCAACAAGAAAGATATTTGTTGGAAAAAGTTCAAGAAACTTTTTTCCTTCATTTAGAACTTTTTTATTTTAGTGTTCTAAAAGTTTATAATTGTCAGATGTAAACATGCGCAGTAAAGTGACCCCCAATGTGTTTTCTGGGATAGAAAATTTGCTACAACGTAAAGCATCTAACTCTCGAATTCCCAGTGTGTTTTTTCAGGTTTGTTGGAAATTGTCTGCGGAAGGTTCGTAATCCTGCACCCTGGTACTTTCAATGTCTTGAATCTCTCTGGTAGGAAAACCCTTGATAGTTCTCCGAAGGTCTTTGAATGGATACAGATTTTTCTTATCTTTACCGATAGGTACGATAAAAAAAGATCATGAAAATCGGATCCATTTTACTATTCCTATGCATCATAAAGTTGTCCAAATTGAAAAACCCTGGTACTATCCTTATACTAATCAGCAATACGTACTGTCTCGCATCCAATCCTGTTGAAAGACAACATTTCCCCCTTCGCGTAGTGAGCATTTGGAAGCTTCTTACGAGCCTTGGAAGTTGTCATAGCGATAATCGAACCCTACAAACACTAGTACAAACATTATGTGTACCATCATCGAGTAATGGAAAATAATAATTCACATGGCTCATTAACAACCTACAATAGCCATGACAACGAGTTACTAGCGAGAAGGGCCTACTAACTCCAAAGAATCCAAAACTCTTCTCAAACTGATATTCGGCCATCATAGGGTTTCGTAGAAGCTTGGTACAAAGCATAATAGTTGTTTCGTAAGACTGAAATTTTATTCTGCTAAAGGACTGACGATTGATAAACTCTAGCGTGCAATTGGCTTAACTGATTTACAAGCTCATTCAGAAAAGCGACTCTCGCCTCAATTGCGTACAACGAAACAATGACGCACGGCAACAAAAAACGAAAAATATAAAGAAAGCAATGTGATCTTTCTCCTCTGGGATTCGTGCACACGGTAAATGTGTGCTCTATTAAAGGCACGCCAAACGTTGGCTTGTGGCTTCACCTCGAAGCCACGCTGTCTGCGAAGGAGAACGCATGAAAAAGCGGGCATCATGCTTAGGCACAATGGCGGCTTGTGGCCAGTAGTTGTGGTCGATCCCGCCGTAACTTTCAAAATGTTTTTGTTTTTCTATACAATCACGCTTATCAAATACGTAGATATCGCTGTTTTCTATTTGCGTAATGTGAATATTGTTAGAGGTCCCGAGTGGACGGATGTATAATACATAGACTTTACTGTACCAAACAAAGCTGTGCTAATAGTGTTCATAAACATTTGCTTTTTTTCAAAATTAACTTGAAAGTTTTTGCGAAACCTTCGGAAAGATTTCATTTGAAATGAGCAAAATCAAAGTGAAACATATTAAATCTCTAGTTCTACTGTAAAGTAGACTCCGTAATATGCAACATCTTTTACGCAGATGATAGTGGTCGAATGCCAGATCCGTTATCAAAGTCGATAACGGTACGAGTAGTGAGCTTCGAATCTGCAAAATTTGAGCGACGCTCAGAAATACTCTTTGTATTGGCTGCCCGACCTTCTGGGGACATGCTTCAAAGGCCTGCAAACGATTCGTTCAAAGGACCATAGGAAGTTCACGTCTATCGCTAACGTATTAATAGACATGTATTCAACATCATTATATTCGAGAAGACAGATGAAGCCATAGCAGTCGCCTCTACAAATGGTCATCAGTAACAATAACAGCAACACTAGGTAGCAGAACATAAAGGAAGCTTTACTATCCATTATTGGTCTTTACAGCTGTTGCCATTTCTACCGTTGTAAAACAGTACGATTTTCGAACTGCAGTCACTTTCTGATGTATTGCATATTTGGTATGGCGTTGGTTCGGGTGGTGTTCACTGAAGATCGTATCGATGACAGGCGACCGCAGCACTGAGGATAATGTTCACACCTCCGAACACGATCAGTTTAGCATCTAACGTCACGTATGACGCGACGGCTACAAAGTCATGTACCTACCATCGCATTACCGCTCACCGTAGGAAGTAATACGACCGCAATACGTAGTTTACGTTTTACACGAAATGTCCCTAGAAAAATTGTTGCTCCGAAAAAATATGACCGCAAACGGTTGCTCGGAATCTCACTATGATCAATTAGAATTCGCATTCATCGAACGGACTGTTACAAATAAGTATTCTATAAATGTTAACGTGCGACGCATATAACTTATTATTGTGCGTTAAAATTCGATGTTTATGTACCCCATTACCTATATAATGTTTATGTTTGCTGAGATACCAGAAAACTTAACAATTAATTGTCTATAGTGACTTCTGTCTGCCGGGAAACGAGTCAAATTGCCCCTATCTGTCAGCTAGCTTCACTTAATACGTGTTTCTTGCATAAAAATCAGGTAAAACGCATTTCGAGTCGTGGTAATTAAGCACTTATTTCTGTCGGAGCAAATCTATGCTAGTTAGATTTATCCACCGATATTAAGTTTATAAGACACCGTATTAGCATCAAGGATAAACCGATCGGACTCGCTACTAATTTTTGGATCTAGAAGAGGCTCATATGGCTCCGTTATGCGCGACGCTCCGACACCGAGTCGGATTGACTATCCTAGAATAAGAACAGCACAGTGGATCGTGTAGAAAAACGATCTTAGTGGTCCAAGTTAACTTTGCCTACCAATTTCACCCTACATCCGCCTTATTTTCCGGGTGTGACCATTAATAAATCACTTTCTGTGTGAAAACATCCATGAAAACAAGATCATCAGCTGATGTTCAAGGTAACTGTGTATGCCGAGCTAAAACGTATAACAGGTTTAAAAAAAGTTCTTGCGGACCCCAGAAGCGGAAACGGATTACTTTACTCGTATAGAATATGCATTTAATGACGATTTGTTCTTTAAGTCATAGCCATGACATTCTCAACGTGACTGTTTGTAAGAGAAGAAAATGCAAACATATACCAGTCTGAAATGCCTTACATAGATTCATCTTCGCCGTTACAGAATTGTAGAGCAGGCGACTGAGATGGTGTGGAATCTGATACCCCATACCTCAGGACAAGACTACTATAATCAGATTAATATAATTGGCGACGTATTAGCCCAAAACGCCTTTAGTCCTACAAATAAAAACGCCTGACGAAATTATGTAGAGGTATCACTTTCCATAATTTTGCCAATTTTATTCAGTGCTGCGCATACATGCTTAGACTTGTCATCGACAACCGTCATCACCGACAACAGAGGGCGAATTAGTCCAAAGACATAATTATTAATGATTCTATATCGTTAGACTTCTTTATTATCGTTACTACCATTATATTTAAGCCTTTTAGTTGAAGTCAACTTCAGTTTCAACTAACTTGAGTGCTAATCTACACTTAAAACCCTACGGTCTTGAACGTAAAGTCTAGGACTACAAGCTACAGATGCAATAAGTATTTACATTAAGCCCCCACAGTCCATCCAAGACAGTTATATGCTGCATGAAAGATCATTCGCTCTCTGTGTAGCAATTTCCATGATAAACTGCATACATTACATATAATCGTTCAATTCGAACTCCGCTTTGCACAGCTCATAGTATAATTTCGCTCACTCTTAACCGCAAAATAACCGCAAAGTGAACCCAGATCGATTCATTCGAAAACAATAGGAAGTGGCAGATCTCTAAATGAACCGAAAATCTTCTGCATAACGCCGTGGTCCTCTTTTCAGCCACGATCCCCGTCGCCGCCGCCGCCGCCGCCACCGCCGCCATTTCCTACAATCATGTCGAACAAAAGCGGTACGCATCGATTTCTGTCAGTTGCGACTTGTTGCGATGCTTATACAAGATAATGCATTCACCCAAGTATATATGTAGCCTCTCCAAGGGTCGTCGGCTGCGTCAGCGCGAAATGTCTAACTGCTTTGCCGTGATACCGCCATCTTGTTTCCATGCGTTGCTTTAACGTATGACGTTTCTCCTAGGGCAATCTCTTCTATTGGCGGCTTTTCTCCGCCGATACGAAAAAGTCGAAGCCTGCAGCTCGAAAGTCAAAGCTGTGGCAGTCAGAGCACTCGAATCTACCTATGATATCGTAGCTTTACGAGTGCATATGGGAGCGTAAATATGTGCGCGAAACAGGCAGACGCAGAAACAAAAGTCGAAAAATGACGACCAACGAATCAGATCGCTTGCTGTGCACAGAACCACTGCGGACGTACAGCAATTGCTATGAGTGCAAAAGTCAATCCCCCTAGTCGCGTGCGCCAAGATCGATAACAGCCGCGGCAACAGCAGCGCCACATTGAGCAACCGCTGCACTAGCGACAAGCACCGACTCTATAACAACAACAACAACAACAAGTATCGATCGATTACGGGAAATGCACATGCTCGGATACACGGACCACATAGAAGGTACGCGCGCCTCTATGCTAAATTCTCTTTACTTTGTTTGACGACGCTATTTTTTGTTGTTGTTTCACCGCTATATTATTATTATTGTGGATAGGCGGAGTGTGCTGTCTCCTCCCTGAAGCCGTCAGCTTTTACCACTATCAAGATCAGCGTTCTTTGCGGTTTTGATGACAGAGTGTTTTTTGTTTGATTGGATCGGTCTCAGCCGGCGTAAATTAAATGAAGGGAACGATACGAATCTTTACCCTGATCACAGCAACGACAGCAGTGACCCCAGGCACATAAAACTGGCTAAACGTCCAATAAAACATAATATAGCCTAGTTGGCAAACAACAATTTTAAGAAGAATGGATCGGTAATTTTTTACTGATGTCTGGTGCGTATCACGCAAAAGCTAGATTGATTCAGTAGCTAGAGTACAAAATGGATCACAAATAGCTGTGATAACAACAACAACAACAATAATGATAATATTAGGGCTGTTTGAAAAAAAAAATAAATACGTAACACTGTGGTGACTGATATCGCAACATCCAGTAGATTTTTTAAAAATCTTTTGTTCTAATTATTTATAGTAGTAGCAGCAGCTTGATAAAGTTCTGAAGTGGGAATATGGATCTACGTACTTTATGTATATACCGATCTGTATCGTTTCCGTGTCCTTTACATCGTTCCAAAAAGCACAGGGCGTTTAAGATCAAAAGATTGATTAGAACACTAGAAGACTACATAGCACTAGATAGCACAATGTCCCAAATAACTTCTGTCTATTAAGACAGCATATGGGAAAGTGGAACACAAAATTGCGTTAGGTACGACCGTTTCTATATAATCGTGGATCAGGCGGATTCGATAAAACGAAGGGGATTGCATTCAGTAAAATTCGCATGATGAAGCTGAGTTTTTTTTATTCTCTGGTCGATGCACCGACAAACATAAGAAAGAAAGGAACGTGGTTACAGTATTGGCTGTATTAAGGTTCCTTAAAACTCCCTGATACAATAATTGCCAACGATTACTGACAAACATCATTTCTAAGGACCTCATTGAAAAATATATTGAAATTTTCTGAAAAAGAGAGGTATATTTATGGTAAATACTTTAGAAAAGTTTTGCGATAGGTCTGATAGGATTGAGTCCTTAAGTCCGGCCTTTTCTTAATATAAGAAAGAACAAATGTTTGTTTGAAAAAATACATTCTCTTTCAAAAACTGTTTCACTGCTAATTATATGGATAAAAAACATTATAAACGGCTGTTGAACTCATCGTCGTAAAGGTCATCGAACTGACTTAGCAATCTATGGAAAATAGCGCAGAGTAGTTTCCCTAAGATTTAGCTTTAGATGAATGTTTTTAGCTAATGCAAAATCGTTTGGACAACTAATTTTTTTCTTTAATATTATGGTAAAACCACGAAGAGGTAAGATATATAGAACATTCCCTCGATCTTGTCTTCGTAAAGGCGAATCTGTGAACGAGTTTATGGCCGTACTGAAATACACCTCAAAATCTTGACCACCTTGGACAGACGACGTAAGGCTGCGCGAGTGTAATTCAAAACAACCTACCATAATGATCACCTGTTATAATTCAATCGCCGGCGAACTCGTTACCAGGGATCGGTCATTGCGCCTTTAACAATACAGGTGTCACTATCTCTTGCATCAACTTCTGAATCTTTTCAGTGTAACTGGCCGATGACTTGCCGCCTGCTATCCAGAAATAGTTTCCTATAATCGACTCACAAAATGATGAATGTAGCTTGCTTGGGCGGTCAGAAATTTACCCAAAAATTCGATCAGAAGCTCCCGTAAGAGGATCATATTTTTATCTAGACCCAGGTATGACTAAGTCTACGAGCCACTGTAAACAGCACCCTGTAGCAATTTTTCAAATACGAATAGTTATCAAGCACCTCGCTGCATGATGATCTTCAAGCCGTTCAACACTCACTACCCTTAATTCACCTGCTTATTGCAAGCTTTTTCGATGTATTTAGTATGTATCTTCTAGAATGACACTTGTTTATTGCAGTGCGCTAGCAACGTCTCTCTTGTGTTCGTTAATTTGGTTCAGGATCGCTCCGAAGACAACGCGTTCACTTTGAGTAATCCTACTATTTGCGTCCTGCATATGTGCTGATCGCTCCGCAGAAGGTGCTTATTTGGGGACCATATCGTCTTTCATTTTCATACATCGTAATTTCGAAAAAAATCGATACACATTGTAGTGTTCGTCCAAGTGTGACTTATTGGCACGACGTTGGTCTTACATAGAACTGCCGATGAAAATGTCCCACATTAATATCTTACATTCATAGGCGCCGCAATACTCAGCCACCCGACCCACGTATATCCCATCAGATGATTTGGCGCTCTCCCAGCCCCATTCTCTGTCATGTGATAATAGCCAACTTAGAGCTTGTTTTAACGAGATTTTTCGATTATACCCAACATGCTCACGCAGGCCCTAATATGTTACGGCGCCTGTTCTACTTGCTTCAGACCCTTCTTGGCTGCTGGGACTACACAATAAGAAATACCTATTCAGACCTACTTTAGACCTCTCTACAACCCATTACCTTTCCAATTGCCGGGTCTGGAATACACCAAAATACACGTGTTTCTCCCCGAAGTTTCAGACATCGGCTAACGTCCCACAAAGCAACAACCTGTCTCTTAATGTTTACATGCCCATCACCGACAGAAATTTTTCACTGCTTGCATATACCGGAACGTGTCCATTGCTCAAGCCCGGATCCGTACAACGAGTTCTGTGTTCGCTTTGATTCGAAACCAAAGCTTGCTGTGTATGCGCCCAGGAACATTTTATTAAACTAGAGTACTTGCACTGCATCTTTTTAGATATACACTGGTACGTCCAATACTTGCGCGCAAGATTTGAAAGGAACAGGAAGTCCGTCGGCGACACTGCAGTAAGATTTACAATACAGTAAATCACAAAGCCGTACTATCATGATTTTTTCTAGGAACGTTCCAAAACAAAATGCCAGCTTGGAGCTCTCTAATAATTAAATTGGCGTCTACCGCGTAAATGAGTATAGGTCCTCCATTCCATTTTCTTGCGCTGGCCCCAACCGATTCTAAGGTGTGTGGGGCTGAGTGTAGCAGAAACACACAGGCAAACCCTAGCAGATGCTTCTGAAACAAGCCTCGCGAAGAGTCGCGTCAGTGGCGACGTGTCTGTTTTTTAAATGTCAAACGCTCCCCTACGGAGTTGTCTCCTTCGTCCATTTTCGTACGAACTTGTCGCTGAAATTTCAGCTACGACTTTTCCCTTCCTGCCACCAATAGCATTAACGGCACTAGTACCATATATTGCCCCCTGATGGCGTACTGGATAACGTGCTCGCGTACTAGACTTTGCTAACACGTGGTAGCCTCTGTTTAAATGCGGCGTAGACACTTTCTTTCTAACTGGTAGCCCGCTATCTAATGAAATGCCTAACGGTAGTATCAGACGTTAAACCGAAACACTCGTTAACTTCAGTGCGGTAACTTACTCTCGGCTATGAAACTTTTTTTTTAACATTTTTTAGTACAAAAGTGGTAAAGCGCGCGCACTACGCTTCGTAGCCACGCCATCGCTATATATATCCCTAGGGCCTTTTCCCTTTTCCCCTTAATGTAGATACAGCCGTAGTGGATTATCACAATGATCGCGGGTGGGTCGAAGTCGAGAGCCCGACGCACCCCAATTACAGTAGAAATTCGGCATATTCACGCAGCACCTCGTTTTTTATATAGCGATGGCGACGGAAATGCTCACAACCTAATTGTTGGTGACCGCGTAACAATAAATGCACGTAGTAGAAAAATAAATACTATCAAATACTTAACGAAAACACAAACAGTAAACATGTTTTTTGTTTGTTAACTCAAACACGTGCTGGAGCAATGGGAACCAAGGCTGGAGTACGGTACCTGAAATGTATAGATTTTTTCAGGTCTACCATACGCCATTATTATCTACTAACTGATTACAAAATTTTGTGGGCATTTTGAATTCGCTACTGATATCGTTAGTACAGATTGCACAAATACACTAAACATATCAAGCAGCTTCTTTGTTTAAAACCTACTTTATTGAAAATGATAGACATTGATTAGAAGGTATACAACAGAACGCATTGTTTGCATTTTACATAGCTAATTTCGGAATACGACGTAAATAAACTGCCCATATGGTTGAATAATGTCTATAATTTTAACTGTCTGACTTATGGAAAGTCACAAAAGCTTAATAACTCTTTAGTTTATTTAGAAATTCGATTCGAAATATGAAGAGAATGATACATTACGTAATACTACTATAGAAATACCACAAACAATAGCGTTAAAGGAAGTAAGCTAATAGTATGTGGTAAAAGAATATAGAAATTGATATGTGGTCAATGAAGCCATAACACCAGGAAATGGTAACTTGCAGAAGCTAACCGATATGCGCATTAAACCGGTTCCAACATTAAATTAACTGTTCATGTTAATGTAGGGGATGCTAATTGGAAAGCACTACGGATATCTGGGCGTTTATATTACTAAGAGTACGTGTTTTCTTTAGAATTTTAGATTAGAAAATTAAAAAATTTACTAGAAAGACCAGCCAATATGAGGAACCTTTAACTGCAAGCTACGTGCTGTGCTGACCTGCACACTTTCAAACTATGCGTAAGGCCGTGCTACGTGTGACAATTAATTATTATTAATTATAATTGACTCAGATAACTTTGCTTGAACACTCGAAGTTGTCTCACTATATCAGCGGGTTCTTCCTCTTTTGAATTCAACCAACTACCACGCTTGTGATTACTCAAATAACACACACACCACGGAAACATTTAAACTTGATATTTCACTAGAATTTAGGACGCATCGCCTAGCTAATCTCTTATCACGTTAAAGGTACAGCACTTTTGTTCTCAAATTTACTTACAAGCCAAATAAAAGCTATTCGAAATTTCATGTACGTACGTTTCAAATTGATTATATCGTAATTTAAATATGTGACTTGGTTTTAAAACAATTCTCGCTAATTTAATTGTTTGCCTTTAAATATCATCTCATACGTCTGCCATGTCTGTGTCGAACTTGGCGCCACACTAATCTCAAATAAACTTTCCTGCGCTAAAGGCCATCCCGTGCGCGATCATTCAAATATTTTGATTTGGTCAGTGCATGTGCTGCTTGATCGGCATCAGCAGCTAGTTTCGCACGGGTATGTATTAGATTATTTTTTCGACTTAGTTTGCATGAAAACGAAACAAAGCAGGCCGTATAGGGCTTGCAAGGGTATCTGCACAACTAAATATAGAGTCCAACATGATAAATACTGCGCCCGTGCGATATGTTTCATCTTATATGTACAGTTTTAAAAAGAACATAGTCGTCCTCGAAACAAATTACTATTAAGCGGTGACTCCTTCAGTAACAAACTCTGTCGGGGAACTTAAAACTTCACAACCACGAAAGTTCGCTCTAAAGCCAACGCAATGTCGGACCTGCGTGCTTCATTTTGTTGGAACACTACGTCTTTATCCTGGGTATTCAAAACAACTCCTATAGTGAATACTTCAGGTGGTGCCCTAAACAGTAATGATTGGATTTTTCCTTGAACGAGCTATCCGATCTTCACATTATCTACTTATCAGTGTGATCATTATAAATATTGTACGATAGGAACGGAAAAGCCAACACTTGTTGGGAAATTTGGATTAATAGATCACATCTAGTGAAGTATGAGTGCCGAATTTGTTTTATGTCAAAGGTTTATGCATATTATAAACGAATTAGCCATAGAAGCAACCGATTATTTTAATACATGATCATTTGAATTAAACACTGAATATCTAATTAAGTTTACCGTCTTTCGTTCTGGATGCACATAAAGTATTGAAAAATCAACCTTCTTTGGACAGCATTTAACGATATAATTCGGGTATATACAGAAGAATTTATTTCTAAGCCTTTGGTCGCGTATAATTACTTTTCCGCCAATCATAGAATATCTAATATGGAAGAACGTCATTGTTTGCTGACGGTGAAAACGTGTGAAAATGCTGGAACTACAAAAAAAAAACAGTTCTGCCTCGAACTGATTTTCCACCTAAAAGTTAATCATGTAAACAGGTACTGGCTATAGCGTTTTATTCGCTTTTCATCAGACTTCTAAAAAATATTCTTTGGTAATTGTTTTACTGTCCATAAACGCTTGGCTATTCTCAAGGCATACGCTTTTATATTGACCGTTTTCTTACATCTTGACGCGTATGTATGCACTTTGCAGACAATGGCGTTCTTCCGTCGAATTCTCGCTCGCCCACTGGCAGCCGTGCCACGAATCACCACACAACAACGACAACAACAACAACAACAGAATCTATCCGATGGACTGAGTCGATCAGGGTGGCGGTCCACATTTGGTACAGTTTTCATTGTGTCACGACCATGCACAACAGAATCAACCAAACTTCCCCCACAACCTAAGAAGCGCGAATCGCCAGTAACCTGGAGGACCGTGGGCATCGGCTTGGGTCTAGGTGGCGCGCTTTTGACATTTATGCTATACGTTAAAAACGAGAAAAAGCAAAATATCGAAAAAGAGCGCAAACGTGTATTGGGCAAGGCTAAGATAGGCGGTGTTTTTGAACTCGTCGACTACAATGGGCTGCCACGCAAATCTGCAGACTTTCACGGCAAGTGGGTTCTGCTCTATTTTGGTTTCACCCATTGCCCAGATATCTGTCCCGATGAACTCGAGAAGATGGCAAAAATTGTCGACATCATTGAGAAGGAATACCCGCATATTGAGTTACAGCCGTTGTTTATTACCGTTGACCCAGAGCGAGATACAAAGGAAGCGATTAAATCTTATTTAGCAGAATTCTCGCCAAAAATTCTCGGTTTGACTGGTACGGTTGAGCAGTTAGCACGTGCAACGAAGGCATTTCGGGTGTACTTCAGCGTCGGCCCTCGAGATCAAGAAGATGATTATATCGTTGATCACACGGTTATCATGTATTTAATTGGACCAGAGGGAGATTTCATTGACTACTACGGACAAAATCGAACAGCAAAACAAATTGTTGACGCTATCGTCATGCAGAAGCTGAAGTTCGATAACCAAAAAAAGGGTGGCATATTTGGAATTTTCTAGGAATCAATGCTTATGTGCGAAAACTGGCGCATCTGAAGGTAAAGCGAGAGATAAGAGGTTTCGTTCGAATTTAGGAACACGCCTGTATTCCGCCGGTTTGTCGGTCTCTGAGGATCAAAACTACTTGAGCGGAGGAGCTGATCATATTACGAGGATAACAAAGACAAGTAAAAAATGGCTCACAGATGAGCTGATGGTTCAACGGCCAATTTATGTTATGGCAAGTGAGCTATTAAATGTTGCTGTAATCCTGCCAATACTCTGTGCATTTAACAGAAAGGTTAGCTCGCGCGTATAGATTATGCGCTTGGCGGGTTACGCTTGTATTGTCGTATCTGTTGACCATGTGGAGTTTTGCTCTCACAGACCGATCCATCGACCTTCAGATCAACCAGTGCGCAATAGAATAGAGCATGCATTTGTGTATCCATTTTACTTTGAAAAAAACTTCAGGGGCGCCGGCGAAGAAAAGGCGCCAGCCGAGTGCTAACGAGCCCTCATTAAAATATAAGAGTGTGTGGTCGAAATCCGTTCGGTACCGCACACAGGTGCGTTGCTAATAGTAGTTGCTGTAAATTACATAGTTTATTAATAAATAGATAATAAAACAAATTTTAGGTATGTATACGCATATATATATATACGAGTATATGGTTATCTTACATGCATTAGTGCATAGGTGGTATAAGAAGTCTTACACGCCTTCTTTCGTTCCTTTTAACCATAAACACATTTAAGCTGATCTGCAACAAAAGTCATCAAAAGCCTAGAAGGCGTTTATTTGATTTTCAAGGGATTGTCAGAAGGACAAATTGCTTGTGGCTGACTTACAAAGAAATATGTGATGTATCACTCATGTTTGAAAGTAAAAAAAAAATCCTAGTCCAAAGGTATCACTATGTAAGTGTTCTATGTTGAAATAAAAAGGGGTATACTGTATGATCAATATTGTCTTATTTAGAGTAAGCATATTTTCGTCCTAGTTAACGATGTCAACAATGTGTAAGAGATATTTTGCAAACACTTAAGGAGTACACTTATAGGTTGAGCCATAAAATGATAACCGATAATAATAACACAAAGACAATATTTAATCAGCAATCTGACAATTCTGATGCTGATGAAACCCATAAGTTTGTCTTCGCATCGTGAGCTCTAAAAAAACAATGATATAAACCTATTCGAAGACATAACTTTTGAGATTATTTCAGGCTGCAGTATCATTTCGTCAGATCATATAAAAGCAGCGTTAAAATGCCTTTGATTGAATTATGAGAAATATTATTTTGATGCTCCTAAAATAGATCAGACGATGTTGCCTTTGAGGGGCCTGAACAAATATCCAAACAATGTCTAAAAAAGAACATTTTGCGCTTTACGCCCGAAACTGCGTTAGCGTCGCGCGGCTGACCTATAGCAAGAAACAAGCGTATCTTTTCCGGAGTTGGAACTCGATATTCACGTGGTTCTAGGTTTAGTAGGCGTTAGCGGGGGTTAGGATAGTTTTGATTTTGAATACCTTCATTTGAAAATAAGGCGAATAAAAACCTTTACACACACCTTCTAATAAATCATTTTCCATTCGAATAGAATGTCTTGTAGTTGTAGTTGTAGTTCAAATACGGTAGCTAACGAAGGTTTGAAAGGAACCGCAAATACGGTGGATGAAGTCGCTCTCAGGAGATGATCAATAGCGTATAAAATTACCTAGTTATAATTGTAGCTAGGGCATATAGAATCATATGGCTTGTTATTTTTGTACACATTTGCGCTGATAATTACAGCAGAAATCTCCCTAGTATATATGAAAATATCAATTTCATAACTGAAAAAGATAGTGTGAAAATGATGTAATAAAATAATAATAACGTATAGTGGGAAAATATGAAAAGTGTAATATGAATTTTCCCTCGAATAGTTTATAGTTGATGACAATTGTTACTGTTTTTGTGACCTAGACGCCAACTTCCATGTCGGTCACCGCTGTCGACTCAATGATAACAGTGCCATAAATAAGGAACGTTCGATTTAAAATGAAACATGAATGAGACAGCTTTCTCTGCTTTAAAACGTGTTCTTAAAATTAGGTTTGATAAGACTAGACATCGGCTGATCGACCGGTACGCACCTTACGATGCATCAAAAGGATTTTTCTTTTATCAAGCTAGTAAATAGAGAGTCAACAAGATTACGCTGACCCGGTGTGACCGACTAGTTCATATAGTGAATTATAAACTCCTATCGTCGCTAAACAATCCCTTGTTAATGCTGCTCAATAAATTGAGTTTATTTGTTTGTTGTGACCGAGTTGGAATAATAGAATACAGATTTGCTCCTGTTTTGTTCGTTTAAAGGTGTTAGTTTGCGTGCAGATTATTGCCCATCTTCCAGTTCTGAACGCGTTCTTTGATGGAAAAATTTTCACTTTGTGTTTGATTCTAGCATTTCTTAAATTGATTTGTACATAACTTACTAGCTCATTTCGTGGTCTGTAGTTTATTTTAGCCAAGAAAAGGACTAGTTATCTGCGTGTTTAGCGCGTCTGCAAACGAGAAAAGGCAATGGCCTTTGACAGCGACTCTCCAAATGAAAATAGAAACAAGGCTCCAAAGACCCTAGATGACCTTCACGGCATTGCTCAGGGCCCGGGTTGTTCCGAGCTGATTAAAGTCTCCGAGTTTATCGACAGCTTCTCAGCAAATCACTTAGCTACGGGTGCCGCGTTTGTGTATCTGCGAGAGACAACGGTAAGAACAGTTATGTTGATAAGCAGTACGTATTGTACGCAACTTGCCAAAGTGATTATTTTAGTGGTCCCTTAAACTACGTAAGTGGTGGTAAGGCAGGAAACGTGCTAGCATTTTACATGCATTACAAACCAACATCAAGCAGAGAGTATGAAGTTAGTATCACTTCAGCATTTACAATTTATTTACTTTTCTGTCGCTGTAGGTCTAGTCTGGTTTACTATTAATATACTAGAACGCTTTGAATCTATAAATTATTCTCTTCTTGTTGTTATGTGATTTTCGTGATCTATGTACGTATGATTCGAATAAATACTATACATTATAACAGGTCTGACGCATGTGTGCATCTCTAGGAAGTGAACAAAGCTTTGACTATTCACCGGATGATGTCAGTTGACGACGAAACTTTTCGATCTCTAAGCGTCGCTATGGAGCATTCGCAACTAATGTGTGGGTGCGAAGAAGTTGACTGTACAGTTATTCCAGACAATGATGATGGCTGGATTTCGCTTCGAATACGCAAAAGGTTAGTCCACAGGTCATGTAATAACTAAGAGGATAAGGACCCCTTTGTTAAATATAAGGATCTTATTGGATGTACTGTTTGCATTATAGATTGTTTATATGACATTATAAACATTACTATGAACAATGCTTAGTCGAAGGCCATGATTAACATGCATATCTTTCTGTGTGGGGTAATTTCGCCCATCGCTGATTATAGTGATCTTCAGCGAAGTCGTCCTTGGCATGCCTCCTCGTCGTGCATGTTGCGTTTAGGTTCGCTCAAGACTGACTTACGGCTTCCAGCGTTTCCAGAGCCTCCAGGTCCACGAATAGTTGAAGGAGGACCCCGTGTAAGATGGCTCGAAGCTACTTTAACGGTTAGTTTATTCCGAACACCTCCTACTGGTACCCCGGCTTTTGTCGACCTAATTGGTCAGTTCGCAGTCTTGGGATCGACCGAACTCCAGAGTCTTGTAAACAGGTAAGCTTTGCCAATCGTAAACATATTACTTCATAAACTAACTAAAGTTACTAAAGCTAGACTAAAGTAACTAAAGCTAGACTACTAGATTTTAATAAAGCTTTTTGTAATTTTCTTTGCATCTAACAATCAATACGAACATAGACATTGGCTCAAACAATGAGAAAACGGTTCGCATGGATTGCAAATCTCAATGTAATAACCCACGATGTGCACGCTACGTATTGTTAACGGAGTTTACGTCACAGGTTTCTGATTTTTATAGCCCAAGACTTGTCCAAGCTTCTATACGGATCGCGTCATAGTGTAACCCGCACGTGTTTCTGTTAAAATCGTCATCTAAGCAAATGCTGAGGTGCTAATTTGTGTTGATCTGCTTTCTAGATTTAAATGCACGTCAGGCCATGCACGTCCTGGGGATTTTGCAGATCACCCAGAAGCGCTAAATATGGTCAAGCCTCTCTTAGATCGCATCAAAGGGTAAATAAAACAATCATTACATATTATGTTTTGGATAGATTTGCAAATAGAAAGCAATCACGCATACCTATATTTGATAGAATGGTGAACAGTTTCAGAACAAGTACTGAATATGGTGTTTTGAATTAAAAACGCCTACTACAAAAGTTGAAACGATTTCTAATAAAGAATAGGTTACCTTCTATCTAATCATGATTCCAGTTACTTCATATTCATTGAGGATACGTTCTACTGTTCTAATTGGGATTATCCCAATGTTATTGCCAAATGGATATCCGATAATAAACTGGGGGACTTTGAAGTTCGAGATATTGTTGGTGTCAAGTAAGTAATGGCAAATATACAAAAAATATTTTTATATGTAATGCGGCCCCATGGCTCATTATTTATTATAAACGTACATGCAGTCATACGAGTTACTGGTCACAATTAAATGGACATTAGTAATTATAAGATACTGTCTGAATCAATTCCATCATCTTAGACTATATTAGATGTTACTAGAACCTGTAGTCTTTGTGTCCTAACTTATGTGTCCTAACTAACGCGAGCATAACTTCAAAGCATGGCCAGAAAATTTTTTATGTATTTTCGTCCGATTTACGCATAGCTTTTGATATGTTAAGAGCATGTTTATCGCAGATCTTTAGCCGATACTATTTGTTATCGGTTGGGGATTTGCAGGAGGCAAATAACGAGTATGACGCAAGTAGCTGCATCTAGTTAATAGAAGTTGGACGTGAGCGCACATTTTAGCGATTCAGTTAAAAATTTATTGTTCGTGTTTTGTTCTCTTCCTCGCTATGGTTTGGGGCTTGTCCAACATGGGAGTATGAAAAATGGAACACTACATCGAATTTTGGGTCAGTAATATTCGTATTACAGGTTTCGAGATCTCAGCATCCGATTAGGGCGTCCTTACGTTTATATGCATAACGGAGACTGTCAACATCATGTCGTGTTCAACGATATTCGTCTTCTGAACGAACAACGCGATGATTCTGACATCAACAATTACCCCATGCTCTTGGGACAAAGGGTGCACCAACAGGTATAATATTTTAGGTTTTTTGATTATCATTCTTTATAATACTTTTCAACGAAAAGTATTATCACACTTTTACTACTTATTTTTAATCGACACCATAGCTAATAATTAATTATTGTTAAACAACACGAGAGGTGTTGTGACAAATTAGAATCTTCTCTAAAAAAAAAAAATTCGGCACAAATACGAATACAGTACTCATGCAATGGGCAATGATGCCTATGGCATGATAGGGACCAAAATCGTTAGTACATTGATTTCCACACTGTCCGGACATCGTTGCAGGAAGAATTAATCAGGAGTTATTTAAAAAGGCAAACGATTTGAAAGAATAATTGAAGTATAATTGGCGGTCGGACTTTAGACCTGATTATAGTAATCCTGACACCTCAATAAAAGCTTCTTGCAAATTCAAGAAAACGAGATTTTGAGGCATCAAATCGTGTAGACAAGTTGGGATATGGTGTTAATTCGAAGGGTATAATATCGAATTAACTAAACCATATCCCGATGGATAGAAGGCGTTTAGGTTTTTACTATCATAGTAATATTTCTTATCCTTTAATGTTATGTATGTTAAATTTATAAAATTTAACATTATTATAGGGTTACATTTAGTCTGCTCATAATATACAAAAAGTATAGCTAGAAATAACATGTTAAATTCATGTAATCTGAAAATTGTCACTATGACGTTTTGTGTTACAGTGATTTTGACTCTGAGGACAGTTTTCAGAGTTAGACTCATGAACGGTATACTTTTAACTATATACAGATTATGAAACTGGTCTAAATCTTCTATTAAATCTAAATGCTTATATCGAAGACGATGATAGCTGTTGCGCTTTTATCATCAGGGATTTGCAACTACCAAGAGTATCTGATGGTTTGGAAACTTTGCGCTGAAGCATCCCTTGAATTTATATGTTCTTCGTGATCATATGGCGACATGAAGTGTTCGATTCTCTTTCGATATGAGTTTCCCTTCTATAATAGGATGTTTTCTTCTCACAGGTGAACGTTACGTGTCAGATGTGCGGCAAAGGTCCGGCGGATTGGGTGATCACCGACCATCCGAAAATGCGACTGGATCCCACCCATATATGTAGTTCCTGTAATCGCATCATCAATTATGACGCCAATGGAAAGAAAAACTATGACTTCAAGCTTTTCTCATTTACTGATTGGAGTCAGTTATGAGTAATGGATGAAAACCGCTATCACATTCAACTGACAAAATATCATTGTAACTAGCATCCACACCTCCAGCTGGAATGATAAATGTAAAAATCGGGTTGGTTAATAAAAATATGACAAATCCACAGAGGTTAATTAATACGGATACAGGGCCTTGAATATAATGGATTGTTTATTACATTATGCATTATAGATTAAGTGATTAAGGCTTTCCATTGCAATTATTAATAGCATTTTCGTCAAGAGGGCTCAGAGTTTTTGGTTTCATATATAAGACACCTCATTCTCCTCGTATTTTTCAAATATTTTGTTTTTGTACTCGAGTTTGATAGTAATCAAAATTTCACTAGAAGGACTTCACGGACTAGAAGGGAAAATGTGAAGGGGCTGGCTAGAATTCATACTAAGAGGTCAAGTGAATAGGATCACTTCTGTGCACAACTTTGTATACTTACCATGGCATCCGGGTTGACGAAATTAATCGAACTGTCCAATTAGTTACCGTTGGAATTCAATAAATTTCATATGCGTTAGAATATAATGTAATAAATTATTCAACCGTCAGATACCAATAACAAGCCTCTATCTTAAAGTTAATTGATAAAAATAAGTTAAGAGCAAAGTCATGTTATATAAAACCAATTAAGTGCAAAGATATATAATGCTTTATTACAGGCACATATTCTTTTATTATTTATGCTAAAGTTGAATATTGTACTATAATTTAGATCCTTCGCGTAAAATCTCATTTTTTTTTAATAGAAGCTTGCTTTTCTTAATTAACAAAAAACTGCCTTAATACGATTCAGTTAAACTCAGGTACAGCGTACAAAGTTGGTATTCTGCTTATTCGCCAAGTAATATGGCAAATGGACTTTTAAAAATATGGAACGTCACTCATGATAATAGATTCGAAGCTATTTTTAATCTGACTTCTCGCTGGACGCGTTCTCAATGAACTTGGCAAGGCGTACGTCCCTCATGGAGAGACCCCTCACGTCGTGACTGACGAGGGTAATATCGACCTTGTTGTAAACGTTACTCCATTCAGGGTGGTGGTTCATCTTTTCCGCACGGAGAGCCACGCGCGACATGAAGCCAAAGGCCTCGTTGAAATCCTTCAGTGTAAATTGCTTTTGAATTGCATCCCGCTCCTGTAATTCATAAAATAATTTAGAGGATACACAACGATCAATTACCCCGAATGACTCTAGCCAACTTTTCTAGCCAACTAGCAGCGCCCCATGCTGTCGAAGACATTTACTCTAACTACCTTAAACTGAAGATTGATATCACACAATTGAATTAGTAACTTCAAGATTATATATATAGGAATTCAACCAATTGCATATATTCTACTGAAGATTATAGTAAAATAGAACAAATTTAAGGTCGTTTACTTGTAACTATATATATATATATATATATATATATATATATATATATATATATATATGCCTGATATAATTTTACCGATTTGGAGAGAGATATGAGCTGTAACGTCAATAAATGTTAGTACCTTTACTATAACCATATTACAAATCTCTCCTCAAACTCGCAATCTTTCATGTATGTTTACATAAAGACTGAGCGCATATTAACGTCATGATATTGAGGGCCAGTCATGAATAATAGGTTTACGCAGCAACAATCTCCGCATGCAAACTCACCTTGATGTGACTCCACCCATTTTTTAGCAGAGGCGCTAAATGCTCTGCACGCTCAGTTTCTGTGAGAAGAACGTTACTCATTGCGGCCGTTCGCTTGACTAGAGGCGATAGAAGGCAACAGCCCAAACGCATGTCTCTGCAATGGCAATGCACAACAAACCTATAGCTATCCTATTTAGAAGGAACAAGGAAAATAACTACAGTGGTAACTGTTATTAATATTGCGACATACGTAACGTTAGATACCACTTTCCAGTGATAACGTTGTTACTATGAATAATCGTATCCATCTACTTCTGATTTACTATTGCTATCTGATACGACTATTTGGCAAGCGTCATGAAAGGGTACACATGTTCCTATCAGTTATTTAATCAATCTGCTAAGGCACTTATTTCCGATTTCAACCTGTTTGTTCAATCGTTAAGTAAAGTCCGTTAATATTCACGAGATTTTTTTCGTCATTAAATGAGTTCACATGCTCATTATACTATTCTTTATGTCTCGAATTTTATGGCAGGTATCACCATTAGGCATTTCATTCGACGGCTGGGTCCTAGCACGAAACAAAGTGTGTCTATGCCCGAATTCGAACCTACACCATGACGTCTTCGTAAGATTAGCAGGTAAATACGTTACTAAGCTTTTACAGGGACGTATTATTTTAATCGCGCCATATTTCGCATAATAAAATATACTTGTGTATATACAAATACTTAGGAAATAACTATAGGTGACATCTGAGCGACTCGGCGGCTCTTCATGGCAGGTGTAACTGAGTATAGTTGGGAACATGTGACCATCTTTAGTTGAGGTCACAAGCATTTTAGTAATTAGACGTTGACCTTTTGTCAAAATACTGTTGACCAACAGCAAGACCTGATCAGAGAAGAGTTACTTAAATATTTAGAGTTTTACGTCTGGCACCGCCGTCCACTCCACACTGTTGGCTCGCAACAAAACAAAGTGTGTTTATCCCCGAATTCGGACTTAGGCTACTATGTGTCCTTAAGGTTAACAAACAAATACGTTACCTATTATGCCATTAAGTGAACTTATTTGAATAGAAGTGCATCAGATAGGCCTGACGTATTATTTACAAAACATCTATTATGATTCGTCTTATGATTCTATCTCGTTATTTGGCCGAGAGTTTTAAAAAGCATAAAAATATGTTTAGGATACCAGCAGGTTGTAGGGAGAAACCAAACGGTTTAATACTGCTTGAGCAGTGTTGCGTCTGATTCTACCTTATAATAGGACTATTTATTGACTAAAAGTGCACACGGTGCAAACTACATAAATAGTAAGTAGATGATTCGTCTTCACATCTAAATAACCGTGAGAAATCGTGTCGTTTCCTAGGCATCCCAAAGGACTCTCTGATAGTCTCATAAAGTCGTATGTTGTTTTCAAAATGGATAGGACAAAAAAATGATAACAAAGAAGTGACTTTTAGTTGAAACTACCTAACGGTCTGTTCATGCAAAATTGCATGTGTAAAGATAAAGTTTAAGTAACTAATGTTGGTGTAACATTCGTGGTAACCCTTACCTTCATAGTTTTCTTGGAATTTGTTTTAACTTCAAATTTTTTTAACGTCTTGGGAAATTATTACTGTGAGCAAGTTTTCAGAACCATTTTCTCGGTGAGGATTAAAAACCTGCGCCTTTAGAAGGTCTAACCGGGGTGGGTCTTGTTAGGCTTATTCGAGGTCTTTCCAACAGAGACTAATGAAACGACACAGTAGTAATTTGTCAATGCTGAAATTTTAATTAGCGACAGCCGCATGTTTATCATAACCATACCAACGATGAACGCATTCGAAAAGATGGATATTGGCCATCAGACCAGACTTTCCCTTACCTCTTGATTATTCCTAGAGTTTGAGAAAACTCCAGGTCACGCACTCATTCTTGCTAGTGGTAATTTGAAAAGCAAACGCCGAAAAAAGACCTCTAGTAATCAGTGGACTCATTGTTTTGTTTAGGTCTGTACCTGATTTAAAAAGTTGCCGCTTTTCAATATTTCGAAGACATGCAAAGAATCAAGCATAACCCTAATAAACTATCGATCTGGTGTAGCCTTTCCATCTTTACCAGTTGGTATCAACACAGTATGAAGAAACCATATTTGTGTAAAAGTATTTTACAAAGCGCACCCGGTTTATATCACTCTTTGCTAAAGCTGCCCTTATTTATACAAAATTTAGATGACGATTGTACGCACTGCAAATGTCGGAAGAACAGTCTCAAAAATTTAATGCTAATGGAAATAACAAACAAGCTATAATCTAACGAAACAAAGTAACCTTGACCTCAGCAAAGCCTAAACTAACATACTCTAATGAATAGTCTCACAGGTAGCGTAAGGAATCTAACTACAAATTTCACAACAACATGTACATTCATTTCTAATACCAACCTTGCAACAACCAACATCGCAAGATTTGCATGAGCTCCTTCAAAATAGATCACAGTTTAGTATGGTTTCACTAAAAATAGGCGTACAGGTAGCAGTGCTCCATCAGTCGGGGTTACAGAACGACAGTAATAGAAAAACCTAACTGGACTTGATGCAACAGAGGGTGCAGCGGCCAGCAAGAAACTCAGAAACATAAATGAAACGATAAATCAATAGCTGGACAGTGGCCAGTCGGTTAAAACTGCTAATATTAGCGAGGCGATGTCACAAAGAAAAGCAGCCTAATCGATGGCCTCATGCGAGCCGGTGAACTAATGGAGACGGGCCTAAGCTCAAAAATCGTCCATTTTTGCCCCCGCCTAATGGAGAACAGAAGAGGCGTATAAGGGTTGGTATGTACTATATATAGATAGTAGGAGTAAACAAATAGCCAAATTGTCTATTTTGTCACGTATTTGCGGTCACAGACTCATTTCAAGTCGCTCGATTCACTGGCATCGAATCGCTGCAAGTCATGTATGTCAAGTCATGTATGCAAGTCATGTCAAGTATAAGGTACTCTCGAAGATACAGTTTGAATCTGCATATGGTAGCTTTTTGTATGCACACGCTGTGGCCATATTGCTGGCGTGAATCAAACTAACTTGATTACAAGTGGATAGTATCACTAGCAGCAGACGTGTACTCACTGCTAAGTCTGTAGAGCGGCTGTCCATTCAGTAAATCAACTAAAGGAATAATTTTCGATAAAAAAAATCTAACATTCCGTTTAAAGATTTCATAGTAATATAGAAGGAACGGTTGCATATGCTCTATAGAAATTATCTTTTCTTTTTGCAGGTGACTGAACCTTGGAACGGACAACCTGTTCTACTCTACGATTCGTCTACAGCTCGTGAAAAATCATGACTCTTAGATATATGTTCATTTTATTACTATTATTTTTTTACTACTGTAATTTTTTTTTAGTTTTACCTACTTTTATTATTCACTTCATGTTATCTTTGTGAAATAATAATACAAAAAATCTTTAACGCAGTCTTTTTTACCCATTGATCATTACTTGAATCACCAGCATTACGAGAAAAGAATGAGCTAGCATGAAATAGAATAAAATCTTCACGTTGCAACTCAGTGTTCTACGTTCAGCAACACAAATCCGCCCAAAGCTGTCTGCATCTCACTCAGTTCTAACAAGCCTATCCATCAGACAGTTCACAATCGTGAAAATCGCTAAGGCAACGGAATCATTTGGACGAGCCAACCGAATTCCTGCTTTTTGGTGACCGGACGGAACCAATACGACGGCACAGCACAGATTACTAACACACAGAGAAGACCTCAAAGGCTTTCGTTAACAATTTTAGTTTTCGGTGGCCAGCGCTTTATATAGCGAATGGCATATTCGACTTTGGCTATTGTGGTACCACCACTAGCACGTCTCGGCAGTGTACCTCGATCAGAACGACCCATAAAAAGAATAGAGTATTACTTATGTGAAGTATGAGTATGAATTAATAAACCATACGAAGTTATTAGCCTATTTAATTGGTCGCGACGGACACAGCTTTGTTACAGTGAGTAACAACATTAGGCTACAAAAACTACTTTTACCTTATGTTAGTCAGTTGGTAAACGGCGAGTTAGTGAAGTCCATTCTGAGGTTGAGATCAACGATATCGAATTGAAGCTATACGATTATTTGTCTTTGTAAATCCGTCAACAAACGTGATTACTGCACTTATTGTTTTTAGTAAACCAAATTAACTTATTGCACCTGACCGGTAAACCACAAGTGCCTAAAATCAACTTGGGCTGAACAAAGAATATTTATTTACAGTTTTAAGGCGATGACAATTTGGCCTGATGAAAGTGCATTTGCACAAGATTAATTATTTGCATTGCTTTGGATAGGAATTATCAGAAGGGTAAGGGCATTTACAGCTGACAGAAGTTGTATCGGCTCCGAATACGATAGGTTGAATAAATGCCTGCTAGCGTCGATCTTTTCCACAAGCTCTTCGCAGATTTATTACTACTGAATTATATTGCCTTATCCCAGATGTGGCCGAATACCGTGAAGATACGGTCTAGAGAAAGGACTTACTTTGAATACGACTGATGCGGTCTACTAGTTAAATGGATAGAGTCCAAAAGAAATAACATAAAATTGAGAATATTTCAGTTTCTAGAACATTGATTGATCTTGATCGCGGGGATATACAATGATATCTTACTAGATCACGAGAATCCATTGAAAGATTACCAAAAATAATGACATTTCCAATACATGCCCTGCTGTAGACTTGTACTTTTTATATATATACAAACGATTGCTCGATATAACACAGGCGTTACAATGCGATTCGCTTTACGGCGTCGCACGTAACTCCATTGCATTCCGTCAATGTACGCAAAAACTACATGTTGTCTTCTTATATTAAAACGTTACTCAAAACTTCTTTCGAAAGTTCATGACATCTATGTAATCAGTCGAACCGCTACCACAGTGTCTCAGGTCAAATCCTGCTTTTAACAGTGTGCGGATACTGCATATTGTTTTCTCGAAACAAAACAGAAAATTGTCGATGTCGTATTTTCTTCGCGCCAGTTCTCTATTCTCACCGAATTATATGGAACAATGCCTTGTTTATCTGAGCTTTCGAGATGATAGGAAGTACTTTGCACCAGCAAGCTCACTAACCTGAACCACGTTTTCTCGTCCTGTTCGATTGTGGGGAACGCTTTCTACTGGTAGAGAGGGTAGAGGGCGCACCAAACAGTTCGTGTCATTGGGGTTTACTCAGAATTGCACTGTTTGCAAAATTCGTTTAGCACGCGATTCGCCTTCGCAGCCATGTGTACACAATCTTCTAGTAAATATAATTAGCAATAACAGCTGTTACTGGGTTTTTTCAGACAAACAAGCAGGCGTCAATGCACGCCGCGCTGCGGTATCTAGTCCTGCATCTAGTGCCATACTTCCCACTGTACGTCCGTTAGAGCTTTCTCCTCACGACCATACTGTGCCTGCTGCCAACCTTCCCTCCTGTCTGGGCCCGTGCGAGAAGCAGCTGACCCCGCGTGTCCCGCAGAACAAAGCAGTCGAATGCAAAAGCCTAGCGGCTAGGAAAAGCGCGCCAATTCGATTCAAAGTGTGGCGCCACCGTTTTCTGGTTCGATGGACTGTCTGCTAGGGGAATAACAAATATGTCTGCTGTTGTGTGTGGCTGACTGGCTGTTGCAGCTGCTGCTCTTCCGATGCTGGTATGATGTTGTGAGGAGAGTCTCCGTGTTGTTTGTGTGCATGCGAGAGTGCGGGCTGTGTGCCTGGCCGCAGTGAAGTGTTGTGGGGCCGTGAGAACTCGCCCATGAATGACATTTGGCCAGCGCCCGTGTATGGCCCGCGTATTGCCCGCGGACGTGGAAACGTGTAGTCCGTGGATGTTGACTAAGCTAGTTCGACGACTTGCCAGCAGTTGCAGGGTTTTCACGGCGTCTCCAGCCGCAGCAGGTGAGACCGTCAGGGCGGGGTCTTGGTGCTCCGAGAGCCGGAGGCGTGTTCGGGTGCTGCCACGATATTACCGTTGCCGCCACTGCGACAGTGCCCGTTCCGTCGACTGCGCTCTCCTTCCCTTTTGCTTCATATTACATATGTGTATGTACATATATGTATATGTAATATATAAGTCGAGTACACTACGATACTGCGTGTGCAGCTTTTAGTGTCTGTCCGTGTGCATCTGCTCTGCGTCACCAGTATCACTATCGTCACCCTTTTAGTACGTATAGTCGTTTCTGTCTGTTACGTGATGCTGAATCCGCGTGGATAGTCAATGATAGCAAATGATGGTGTACATGACGAACCAGTGATTAGTGTCCGTCGCTTCGCGGTTCGCTCAATCAATCCATTGGTCGGTCGGTCGCTAGCTCGTTCGTCGGATGTTGAGCTGGTCGGTCGGTCGGTCGGTCTGTGTGTATGTGTGTGAGTAGGTAAGAAGAAACGAACTACATTATGCCGTGTATGGTGTTGATTTCACTGCGACCGCTGTGGTCGTCGTAAAAAAGGCAACTGTCTCTTCTTTCGAGTATCGTAGTATCTCGACTATTCTAGCTCGAATAGATACAACGGTTTCTACTCGTAATGCGACAAAATGCTGCAGCCAGCGATGAGTCGTGCTGCTCGAGAACGCTCTTGAGTGGATGTACTATCGCTACGGTTTAGATCCTGCTCAGTGCTGCTGCTGGCGCCGTTCTGGAATACATGCCGATCCGATCTCTTCAGCCGTAGACTAGGGAGCGTAGCTGCGTAACTGTATCGTGTCACTATACGTGCCATCACATCAGTTGATTCCATTTTACGTTGGCCATACTCATCGTTATCATCAACGCCATCAGCACTATTATTGGTGTTATCGAAGCCATCGTCGTCTTACCGGACTGGCTTTGCTCTTTGGTATCGCTGCTATGTGTTTTCGTGCGTGCGTGGGCGGGTATGTTTTTTGCTGTGCTGCTAGCGCCGCCGGCGCTGCTGCTGCTGCTGTTTGAGTGCGAAGATAAAGGAGATTGATTAATGGTGGGCAAATCGAGAAGTGTGGCGGTCGGTCTTGCAGCACCGTGTGCATGTGTGCTTCTACAGTTGCAACCACTACTAATACTACCACTTGTACAACTATTATTTTGGTGCTATAGCAAACGCTGTCCTGTTGGCCGCTGCTGGTGTTACCGCGGATTGGACTTTCAGCGCAATCGCCAATCAGGTGTGAGTTGACCGTGATTTTGTAATAGCCATGGTAGATCTGGCTGTCTTTCTAGCTTTTGTCTGGGTGAGCGCTTGTCTGAATGAGTGTGGAGCGTATGTATGAATTACTAGTGGGCGCACTGGATCGAACGAAAAAGGCGGATAGTAATAGCGGTAATAAATACTGCTGGCAGTCGTCGTCATCGCCGTCGCCATCGGTCCATCTTGCTGGTTTGTCTCATTGCTCGAAACCATTTCATTCCGATGCATTGCATTGCGTTTGCATAGGTCTACATGCTGACAATGCACACACTGATCAATGATGATAATAGAATACAGCTCAATGTGCTGTCGATTTGAATTGCTTAACTCAGTCCATCTATCTGGCTGTCTGTTTGTCTCAGCTTACTCCGGCACGCGTATCGCCGCGGTGGCGGCAGCAGCAGCAGTAGCCGCATGAACGAACGCGATGACGTGCGACTGCGGAACACTGGACAGAGACCCTCCAGACGGCCTGGTTCGTCCGTCGTCACTCGTATGCGTCTATGCGCCAGCCGCCGCTCGGTCAACAGATTTTCGAGAACGTTAGGCTCGATTGCCTGGAACGGTTGATATGCAACGAATTCTACAGGATACATCTGCAAGTGTTACCGCCACTGGAGCTAGACTATGATAGTGAATGTCGTGTAGATTGACCAATCCGAATGAATCTAGCTGTTGCTAAGGTTTTCTTCAGGGCCGTTCTTTCTGCGTTGTCAAGTAACAGTCTTTACTAGTGTGAAAATATTGAGCACCACTTACGAGGAAGGCTGGTGGGTTAGACATCGCGTCTTCTGTTCTGTTTAATACCAAATCAGAAAAATTGTAAAATGATTTATTTACTTTAAAAGAAAAACGTTTTCAACGTTGCGAGTTGCGTTACAAACTCCTCTTTAGCCCATGCTTACCTCGTGAGTTCGAAAGCTTGATAAATAAACTAGGTAAATGTACAAGCGAATAAGATAGACAACGGTTTTCGCGTACTAGTTTTGCAAAACACCTGAAAATTTAGTGCTTCTGCGGGTCGCTTTGGCTCATGAAGTGTACTGTATAACACCCGGTATAATAATATAGTTAACAAGAGATGCCTGCCTTTCACTTAGACACCTTGAAGAGACAGTCGAAAAAAGCCTGGTTCGTTTTACCGCTGCTTGAAGCTGTCGACTCTAACGCAGTAACAGTTACATAATTTATTACGAGCGAGGAGTGCATTACATTACATTTATCATGAATCTTTCGCTACAGCATTAGCAGCGTGAGAATCAAGTGAGTCGATTGAAGGCGAAGAGTGACTTCACAAAACATACTCCTAGAGAATTCGTGGCTATTGCCAGCCAAGCGGAGTCAATCTGTCTTTCTGCTCGGTCCTTCATTAAATATGTCTCTATTATAAGGTGCGCGGGAAGCCATTTACCGCTTTCTCTCGTTGCTGCTGTTAAACATGCTATTGCCATTTTATGTGATACGTTCCTTTGTTCGTTGTTACTTTTCGTCGCTAATTTCCTTTTATATTGTTTTCTGCGCTTAGAAGTACAGACAACACAATACATGACGAAAAGGAATTGAAAGATAAGATAGAGGTAGGCAGAGTACAGAAGGAGCGAGCTAACTGGTAGCTCCGCCTTCTTCTCCGAAATTACTTCCTTGTCCTCCTCCCGCTTCTCCTCTTTTTTCGTGCCACCATAGTCGTAGATACGTACGGGCACGAGGTACATACGGCATACCATTGTATCATGGTGTACAAATGCGAGCGTTCATTTGTTCGTATGAATCGTAGACTATAGCATGAAACATCGTAGTCATCGTCAACATGGCGAACATTTCGGATTCTTTTTCGGCGACTTGTGGTATCGATGTTCGTGGCCCCGTAGTCTGCTCGCCGGTGCCTGACGGCTTCGTTCCGTCCCGCCACGACGTCGATGGGCCGACACTTCAGTGCTGTATTCCGCTCGCCGCCGTCTTTCTCCTTTTCCTTTGTTCCCCCATTTGTTCCTGCCGCTTCAGTTGGGCCTGCAACATCCACGTTCTCGCTGGCCAAATCGACACGGTCGGGTGTATTTGCCTCGATTGACGTGTAGGGTTATGAAGAGTGCTTTATATCGGACGATCAGTTATTACTGTCATCGTTGTCGTCGTCACTCATCACTATTATCATGTCATTGTTGTTGTTTAGGACGTTCAGTAACGTTCGTACCGCAAGTGTTATGCAAAATTCTAAGGGCGTCGATTTTGGCTGTAGCAGCACCTACGTAGGCGGACGCCCGGCAGACGAGGACGAACTCCAGGAGCGGGTATACACAGTGAGCAATAGCATCGGGGACACTGCGTAACTGTGTCACTCGTTAGTTAGATTCGATCGATTAACCTAGCAGTCCCCAATGTTTTTCTTGTAGTATGCAAAAGTTTGTAGGTCTCCCCCGCACACACTCCTTAGCCCGCACCACCATCATGACCTGCTTCATCCGTATTAGTTAGATTGAACGTGTGCGCTCCACGACAAATTAACTGCCCTGTCTCCTTGGTGCATTACTGCCACTGTGTTAGTTGGCTGGGTGGGTGGCTGGCGCAAGCTGCTTCGCAACGCTTTGTTGATATTGGCGGCTGCCCTGACGGGTACGGCTGCGGTCATTTCTATGACCTTGCGTCGACGTCTGCAGGAACCCGTTACTGTTAAGCGGGCCTGTGGCAGCTAGTCAGATAAGGTGTTTTAGTGAACGTCGATGATCCGCAGCTATCGACGAGCACCTAATAAGGAGCTAATCATGCAGACCACTACTCTACGACATCTTGCGTAGGATTACACGTTTTAGATAATTTCATTCACGGCGATATCCGCCATTCACAGTACTATTGAAGTTTCATTTAATGTTCAGTTTATGCTTAGCAGATCGTCAAACATATAAGAACTATGCCATCTGTAGACTAACTATAGTAGCTATATTGTTATTACCCGTACAGTTGTCGCATTATATAAGTTAGTCAATTTTCTGGTAAATACTATGATAATATGATAAATAATATGATAGTAGTACAATGACGTGTTGGAAAATGGAATCTGAAGTGTTTTTCAAGGACTGTGAGGTTTCGAGAGATTCAGCTTGAAACTAAGGCTGTCGACCCGTATTGGTTGAATAGTTTGACGGATCTCGCAACTGCTACTAGCGCCTTCTGCAGCGGCATATGGTACATAAATGCAAATAAATGCCATTTGCTAGCACTATAATCCGAGATCTCTAAAGAACGGCCTTGCACGTAATCCTATATATTGAAGTTTCCCAAGTGTCTCAGTAGGGCTTTAGGTAGAGTATTACGAAAAGTTCCGTTATTTTCAAGGCCAATATGTGTTCCGTGTTTTACCAAATGTTTTTATTTTCCGTAATTTAAAGCCTGTGAGCATCTGCTATTAAACTTAATTATATTCAGTGAAGGTAAACAGAAAAGGTACGAAAAGCTATTAAGACGCTCAAGGAGTTTTCTTTTAAGCTAAATCTATTCCGACCACCGTGACTCAAAAATTTTTTAGATTAAAACTGTTTTGTTGTTGTAATATGTAAGAAATTTAGCTAGACACATTACTGTTAATAACGTGATATCAAATACTACAGGAATGTATTTCTAGGTTTAACTGATTAGCTAAAATGCAATTTGCTACTGTATCGACTTGATATTATTCTTATAACGTATTTCGTCTTAACTCTTAGCTAAACTCATAAAGATCAGTAGAGATAAGAGACTCTGTGCTTTCTTCGTAAAAACAATATGTTGACCCCGGGAATGTGAAAACACTATACTTTGAAAAATATAGAACGCATTTTGAATAAACAGTTGTATAATTTTACCAAGGTATCGCCTGATTTCATCCACCGGTCAGCTTTTTCCTGAAAGCGGTTCATGTTCTCAAAATGCTTTCCATTCTTATCAGTTTTATTAACATGTAATTGTCGCAGGGACCCACCGCTGTCAGGAGACAATACTTTGAAATGACAAAATGATTTCGGCCAGTGACTGTTCGATAAGTCTGCTTTACCTATAATATCCCACCTAGAAAGCGTAGGGAGCGTCTATTGTGAAAGCATGCACATAATTGACTACCTTCAATAGTGATGAAGACGTAGGGTTCATAGGTGCAATCAATATGTCCCGCTATCAACAAAAAGCTAAACCCTTTCGTCTGTAAAGGATTATGCAACAATAACGAAAAAGCACTGCACACGCAATAGCTTAGTACTCTATACTATTGTCTTAATGATATAATTAAGTTCACCTCATTGGCATTTTTGAAAGGCCCGCATTTTGCGTACATCTATTAGGTTCGAACTAATTCGTGGCAGAAAATTTTAGGAACTTTACCGAAGGGGAAGTGTAATAGTAGCTCGAATTGTTGATCAGATGGAAATAGAATACATTAGCTGTATCTAAATTGTTGGAATAATCTGAAATTTTCAAAACAGACATCCCCACCGTTAACCTAAAATGCGACATCTATTTCCTCCATTTACAAATAGCAAAAAACAACTTTATTAAGTAATATATATATATATATATATATATATATATATATATATATATGCGATTACAAAAAACAGCGTAATAGACACAATTCACTAAGGAATCTAGCTAAACTACGGCGGAGCAGATCATTTCACTCGTCAATGGTCGGTTTTTTGACCGTCTAAACCAATTTCAGCCGAACAACGTTCTGACCAAGATGATATGTGATACCGACAATCGAGCGCAACAGTAGTGATTGAGCTGTCACGGCTAATGTGGGGGCTCCCGTTACCCTGTACCGTTCTCGACGCTGGTTGGGCGCAAGTCGTTGGCATAGTATTTTGGGTCTTCCTAGACTATTACACTCGAGTGAGTCCTTTTTCAGCTAGTTAAAAAGACATTGGCTTGTTCTGTTCTACTACAAGTAGCGTCACATATCCATTCTGGGAGCTGCATTTAATTTTGTTCAGCGCCTCCAACAATATCGAG